TATTGACTGTGTTTTTAATTTTTTTGTGTATTTTGGTTTATACTGATTTCTTTTATGTTGAGTTAATTTTGATAACTTATTTTCCAAGAAAAATCACCTTGTTTCTTTAAGATTTAAAAGTTTATTAGCATAGACATGTACACTTTTATGGCATTAAAGAACTTCTCTGTACCTGATATATCTTATCTGGCAGAAGAACACAATGGGGATGCTCTTCTATCTTTGAGTGGAGTGGAAAAAACAAGAAAGAAATAAAATGTCTCCCCTGAGATGCCAAACCACATATCCACCCTCAGGCAGATTTGGTCCGAGAATTCATTCCACCAGTATATTCTAAAAATCTACTTAAAGTAGTTCTGGGGAGTATTGCCCTCAAGCCATCTGGCAGAAACAAAGGTAAATTTCCAAAGGAACACTCTTTAAACTCAGGCCTTAAAGAATTTCTCAGATAAAATTCCTAGGAACATGGGCTCGCAATAGAAAAAAGAAAATCACAAATCACACAAGGAAACACACCATCATGAGCAGTAGCCATCCAAAACAACAAAAAACAGAATCAGACTCATAAAGACTGCAGATTTTGAAATAACCAAACACACAATATACTATATTGAATATGTTTAAAGAAAAACAAGAGAGTACTGACAGTATGACTAGGGGAAAAGAAACTATCAAAATTGATCATGCAGATTTGAAAAATAGAATTTTCACAAATGAAGAATAAAATAATTTAAATTTGAAATTCAAAGGACAAATTGAACACCAGAATAAACACAGATGTAGAGAGAATGGTGAAATGAAAGATAAATTAGAAGAAATTACATAGAATCTAGCATGGAGAGACAGAAATGGAAAATATTAAAAAGAGATCAAGACACATAAAGATAGAATGAGAATATCTACCATGTCTCTAATTAGAGTTCCATGAAAACATAATGGATAAAATGAGAAGAACTAATGGCTGAATGATTTCCAAAATTAATGGCAAAAATGAGTCTTCAGATTCAGAAAACACAGTGAAGTCAAAGAAGGTAAACAAAAAGAAACTCAAAGCTCAAGATATCCAGGCAAAACTGCAGAACACCAAAGGCAAAGAGAAAACAAGAGAAGCATCCAGATATAAAAGAAAAATTACTTGCAAAGGACCTGCAATCAAATTAAGAGTTGACTTCCAGCATCAATAAAAGCTAACCTAGATTGGAATAATATCTTTAAAATGCTGAGAGAAAATATTTTCAATCTATTATTATATACCAAGGAAAACTATCTTTCACAAATAAGGGTGAAATAAAGACATTTTTAGAAAAACAAAAACTGAGAGAGCTTACCTTCAATAGACCCTCATTAAGGAACTTCAAAAGAAGATACTTTGGGAAAAAGAAAATGACCCTGGAGAGAAGATATGAGACCCACAAAGGAAGCTGTGGATAAATATAAACAAACATTGACTGTAGTAAACAAAACTAAAGAAATAAATCCTGGACAACAAAAGCATCTAAAATCAGAGTTAAAATATTCTTAGGTTCTTATGTTATTCAGGAGAAGGATAAAGATATTAACTTTTGACTTTAATATGGATGCTTAAATCTATGGGTAATCCCTAAAAATAAAAATAATCTGTATAACTTCCAACTAATAAAGGGGAAGAATGGAATAAGGGGTAAAAATGGTTTAATCAAAAAGAAGGCAAAAATATAAAAAAGACCAAAGAAATGTTAAAAAAGTGGAACAAATAGAAAGCAGAAAATAAACTTTAGGGGTAAAGGCATTTCTAGATATGAAGATGTTCACAACTTATTGTTAAAAGGCATCAGGAAAGTGAAAGCAGGGACTCGGATATTTGTACACCCATGTTCATAGCAGCATTATTCGCAATTTGAGTACAACAGAGTAGTCAAATTCAGAGACAGAAATAGAATAGACCTAGAGTAGTCAACTTCAGAGATGGAAATGGTGGTTGTCAGGGGCTGCGGGAAGGGGGAATTGAGGGGTCAGTGTTTAATGGGTATAGAGTTTCAGTTTGGGAAGATAAAGTTCTGGAGATGGGTGGTAGTGATGGTTACAGAACAATGTGAATGTACTTAATGCTAGAGAACTGTACCCTTAAAACAGGTTAAAATGGTAAATTTTAGGTTATGTATATTTTACCACAATAAAAATAAGAAAAAGTGAAAACACTATTGTTGTCTATAACTAGGAATAGTCTGCCACTGATCCTGGGGTATTGATATAATAATCAATCTTAATCCTTTAAGAGAAGTCAATACTGGTTATCCCTTTCTAAAGCTGGTCTTACTACAGTGTGGAGGTCGAAACCATATTCTCTAGGAATGCCTCATCTTTGTGTAGCACTTTATATTTGAAGAAAGGCTTTTATGTGTCCTAACTGATTTAATCCTCATGGCGGCCTTGTAACCTAAGTAGTATTACTTCCTTTTAATTGATGGAAGAAAGTGAAGCCTGAGAGATTAAGTTGTCCAAGATCACAGAGCTAGTAGGATACAAAGGTTCAAATGCTTATCTTCTAAGTTACTGATTTCCCAACGTACAGAAATAGTTGTCAATTTACTATGAACTTTGCATTTAAAATCCCAAAAGCAAAGTGCTATACTTGTTAAACTGAATAAAGAAAAGAAAATGAAAGATAACATCCTTACCTTCTCAGTGACCAAGGAATAATGATTATAGTGAATTTACACTCTGAATCCTATTAACGTATTTGTGGCTTTTTATAATGCACAATTTCCAAACCTTGGTCACATTTAAACTCTGGTTGGCTGTTGGTATTTTTGGACATGAGTTTCTAAAAATACCCTTTAGTTTGGCGGTTGGGGCAGCTTTCCCTTAAAACTCATTGTTTTAGGTTGCAGCTATTCAAATTTTAATCTAAATTCTCAAAAAAGTTTTGTTTGATTCCAATAAAAACAAGTAGCCAGGTTTTTCTCTCATTGTTATGCAAGAACTGTTTCATTTTGGGTCTTAAATTTCCTTTTTTATTGCTCTCCTAGGAGCGGATGGCTAATGTACATGGGAGAAACCTGGCAACGCACCATCACTACTCTTAGTAATTTTACGAGTTCCCCTAGAACAAATGGCTGGGTCACTGCAACCTCCTGATTCTTAGCACGCAGCTAGCATTCATTTTCCTTTGAAGCCTGCCATAGATAGGTCGACTCATAACTCCAACTCTCCTGCTTCAGAATGCTCACCCAGTAGCTTTCTCTGTCTCTGGGAAGATTTGGTACCTCATGGAAGAGGGGTGGCTTTGACAACCCCCTGCTGGGAACAAGCCTCCCTGAATTTCTTAACTGATAACATAAATAATACTCCCTAAGGCAATATGAATAGGTTTCTCACTGTGGTGGTATTCGGTGAAAGAATTTGAGATTTGGCACTCCTTGGTCCTTCCCTCTGTGTGATACCTGTAAAGTCTACACTGACAGGTTAAACATTGAATGTTCAAAGAGATGGTCCCTCTATTTTCTCTTTCAAGTTGTTCCAGCTTCTGTGAGGTAAAAACGGTGGACAGTCTCCTTACCGTTGCATTTACCGCACAGATTCTGAAGTCAGATCTCCCACCTTTTACATATAAAAATATTTGGAAGCACTCCACTTTAAAATGCTCACAGCATTTTGGGACTCTCTTCTCTTATATTTTGCTGTAAAATTCATAAGCCAGAGTTCTCTGAGCAGAGCGCAATGGAAAAATGAAGTACTTTTACAAAAAATAACTCGCACCTATCATTTGGGCAGCGCCAGGGGAACTTTTCCCTTGTATATATCTGATTTATTGCTTCTATTCCCATAGCTTACATTTATTAAGCACCTACTCTGTGCCAGAAACCGTACTGTGCAATTCACATGTTTTGTATTATTTAATCTACACCACAGACCTATGTGGTAGGAACTAACTTATTCTCATTTTACGCACACACACACATACACACAAAGTAAAGTACCCGCATAGCAAATAAGTGGCTTATGTTGTTCAACTCTCTTTTTCTGTGTAAAATTGTACAAACCTACCTCAAAGAGATAGTTGTCTTACCCTTTACAATCTCAGATTAAAGAATTTTCAGAATCAGCCTTGCCAACCCGTTAGTACTTTATACACTTTAATATTTTCTTCTTTCAACTTTCATATTATTTCGTATGATTCAGATTGTTGTTTCCCCTCAACTTTCTCTTCTGCTGATTTAAATGAATAAGAGTAAGAGGCAAACTCTTGTTAACCTTTCTTCCAAGATTGTATTTCTAATGCCTCAGTCACTTTGCTCTCAACTTCAAACTTTATTTGGTTTTCTTATATGCTACTAAAGAATGAAAGATCCGAAACAGACAGTCATTATTTGTAATTGTGAAAATATAGCAAAATAAAATTCAATGGCAAATAAAAATGGAAAGTAGCTCCATGTTATGACTGAGGCAGACTTTTATTTTTAATGCTGCTTAAAAGATAAAGAATATTATGAGGTGAAGCCTGTTTTTAAAGAGAAGCTTGATTTTTTTTTGAAAGCAGTAAAGGTATTTTATTCTGGCATTTATATAATTTCAACAAAATATTTTGCAATCTATTTAACATAAAATGAATGATAAATATTTATTGAACATCTACTTTATTCTCAGAATTTAAGGAGAATATAGACTATGTATAAGAAATGGCTCCTGCCATGAATTGCTTATAATTTAGCAGGTAAGAGAAGATGAACATACTGATAAATTTAATTATACCCAAGGCAGTACATATTGGTGCTTTTCATACCCTTCCTTCTAGTTCTTTCTTTTCTGAAAATTTGTTCTTTTAAACACATCTTGACTATGTCTTCCTCTTCAGAGAAGCTTTATTTTGAATTTCAGAAATAGCCTAATTTTATGCTTCAAAGATTAGAATCTGTTTTCTCTCCATTTATTGGATCAATTCTTAAATCTGGATTGAAATGCTGAGAGACACTTCCATGTTGCCCGCTCTAAGATGTATCTTTATGTTCCTCTTCCACCAGAGTCTTCAGAAATCGGGCCTTCTCTTGTGATTCACACCACTGTCCCATTTGGAGTTGCGTACTTGGAGCACAGCACTGAAGATGTGCAGGAGTTAATCTTCAAGCAACTGGAAGACATTTTGCCAGGTTTGCCTCCGCCAGTTGCTACCAAATGCCAGAAATGGAGACATTCACAGGTAATCAGAGAATCCAGTGGTATGAGCACAATTTTTTTAATACATCAGCAAAATTGACTTTACTTTTTCTCATCCTGTGTCACTCTCTAGTAAAAGAAATTAACAATGTGATCTTTGGAGCAAATACATGTTTGCCCAATGCTTACAGGTTTTATTATCCTGTTATTTCTCAATAAAAGATGCGTACGATTTTCCCCAATGTTATGTTCAAATTCTAGCAGGTCAAGACGTGTACACCCTGAAAATCTGGGGTTTCCTACGCAGGAAGGCAGATTATATATCAAAATGCAGCTGTTTCTCTGGGGTTTTCTAAATCGGTACTGTGGTTATATAGAAACCACTATAACCTCCCAAATTTTTGCAATATGTCAAATTACCTTATAAGTGTATTTTGCTACCACAATTTTCATTTTTATTAAGTTCCCACTTTGGTTTTGACTGCTGCCAACAGAGCTCTTTGGGGGACAAAGATGAATACCTGTACGGATCAGCTGGTTGAGCTGTTTTCAGGGGTAGATAAACCTGCTGATCACTCTGCTAGTTCACACTTAAAGCTGTTTACAAGTAAATGCTGACTTTTCTAAAAATCTCTGTGTATTCCAACAGAAGTTTGAGTATTTGTAGAAAAAGTCTTTTGATCTGTAAACTCAGTTGTGAAGTCATTTGGGGACAATGGAGCAAAGGGCAGAAGGAGAAAAGAAGCAGCAAGTTGTCTTTTTTTCCCCTAAGATTTCTGAGCCCGTTGATCAGTTGATTTATCAGCACTATTGGTTAGCCAAGCGGCGAAGCCTTTAGAGAAAGTGGTGTTGTGATAAATCACAGCAGATTTTGTATATTTTAAAGAGTTTTCCCAAATCAGAGGAAATGGTAAATTACTTCCTAAAATATTACAGCAGGTCTATCTGTTTACTCATATCTTCTCAAGTTAAATTATACAGTGAACGTTTGGGGAAAATATTTACTTAAACATGTCATGGTCACTTTAGAAGACTTTACTTTTTCCCTTTAAAAGCATTGAAAAATCTCAATAGCTAATGTCTTGAAGTGATGTTTAACTCAATTTTAGGTTGGCTTGAAAAAGAAGACAGGGAAATAACCTTGTTGGTATAATTTGAAGCTAGATATATTACACAGCAAGTCACTTTGCAATTTATAAGTATTCCTTTAAAAGAAACAATGGTTTATGAGTTTCTTCTTGTGATTTCCTTAAAAAAATTTATTAATAAACTGAAACAATGGGTTAAAATCTAGTTATTTCTTAAAATTTAATGTTTTAATAGAAATAGATTTGACCTACCCAAAAAATGACCTATTCAAAATTGTGTCATATCACAAAATTTAATAAAAAATCTTTGAACACAAAGTACATCCAAACCCTAGCAATGATTTTTATTACAATTTGGATGTTCTCTCTTGAAATTATCCCAGTACATTTACAACCTTGTAGTCATGAAATCTACATTAGCTACAAAGCCTAAAAGGGAATAAGTTGTCATTCAAACTAAGACGTTTGCATTTTCCACTATTCATATACTTCTCATGGTACCTTGAACATCGTTCTATAGAACATAGCATTGCCATTTATGGCAGAGATCTTACCTATGTTGTGAGATAGATTAGATAGGTAGGTAGATAGATAGATAGATAAATAGATAGATAGATAATAGATAGATAGATAGATAAATAGATAATCTCCCACATCACCTTAGAAAAAGAAATAATTTATGACAGGTCTAGAGACTTAATAGCACTTAACTAGCTAGTTTTCAATTATTAATCTCAAGAGAACATTTCTCCAATGCTTTTAAAAGGTCCATTTTAACCTTTGAAATTTGACATGAATGTATGTACCCCTCTTTTCTTGCCATCCCAGGACACGTGACCTACCTTCGATGAATTCATAGATGTTTGTGTATGAATATGGACTAATATAGTGCTTAAACTGAAGGGAAGGATGGTATAGAAGCAGGGACAAAAAAGAAAGGAAAAGCTAACTGATTTTGAAATTACCCTCATTTCTGAGTAGAGGTACAGTCTCCTTGTATGGGAAATCCCACCCATATTTTCTTCTAGCCTGGGTCCCACCCTCTGTTCCTTTTCTTTTCCTCCTCCCCCTACTCCTTCTCCTGTTCTTCACACTCCACCCTCTTCCTTTTCTTCTCTCTCTCTCTCTGCCCTTCAAACCCTCATTTCATGAAATTCCAGATACACCACAGAACTGATGTCCCCTGCCCCTGGTAGCAGTGAGTGATGTGAATTCCCCATCCTAGACCCCTGGGGCTTGACTCTTTATCTCCATTCACTTTATTTTTCTCCTTTTTCTCTTCTTTTGTAATCCCTACACTGCATCCTGGCACCCAGTGACCGTGGAGGGTAGAAGGAAGAAGAGAAAGAGAGATAGCAATGATGAGTAATGATGAGCACCATAGCATGGCCTGCCTGGAGCTTGGCAATTCAAAGATGTGATCTTGTTTAATATCAAAAGTATCCTTATGAGGTTGCTTGTTTTAACCCACTATAGCGATGAGAAAAATGAACTCTCAAAAACATGAAATAAATTCCCTAAGGTCTCATGGCTATTAATGACAAAACCAGTCTACCTGCCTCTCAAGTCCTTCCGTTCTCTTCACTGACCCTCTATTGCCTATGGCTGCTGTAGCAAGTTACCACAAATTTGGTAGCTTTAAAACAACATAAATTTATTATCTTACAGTTCTGGATGTCAGAAGTTCAAGATGGGTTTCACTGGGCTAAAATCAAAGTGTTGGCAGGGCTGTGTTTCTTTCTGTAGGCTCTAGGAGAAAATCCATTTTTTTGGCTTTTACTTCTAGAAACTGCCCGCAATCCTTAGCTTGAGGCCCCTTCCTCCATCTTCAGAGCCAGGAACAGCAGGTCAAGTTCTTTTCATATGGCGTCACTCGGACCTTTTCTTCTGCCTCACTCTTCCTTTAAAGACCCTTGTGATTACATCCAGTCTGCCTGGATACGCCTGTGTACTCTCCCCATCTCAGGTTCAACTGATTAGCAATATTAATTCCAGCTGCAACCTTAATTCTCCCTTGGCATGTAACATAACATTTACGGGTTCTGGGGATTAGGATGTGGACATCCTTGAGCAGGAGGGAGGGAGAGTTATTTTTGCCTACACACCCTACTTTTCCCCAGAATTCCTTGGTAGCCTTTATGAGGCAGTGTCTCCTACTCCCCTCTTAAAACCTCTGGGGAGAGCATCAGCCCTTTAAGGCTCAAGCCACTCTAAGGAAGTGGCTGCTCTCTGAAAGAGATAAGGGAATCTTTTGTGTGGGGACAGTTTCTTGTGTCCCTGATGTTGCTTTCTCTTGCCTAGTGCTGCCTCTCAAGTCACATATCCACATTGGAAGCAGGGGGGTGAAAGATGTTTGTTCATTTGGTTACTCATTTATTCAATACGCATTTAATGAATGCCTACGACATGCCTAGGACTCTGCTCATGGGACCCTAGAGACTAATATTTGCTGAAGGCCTTCTCCTAAGACACTAAATTGAATTTTTTTGTCTTGAGTAAGATAACGGTGCTTTCTTGTGGGTGCTGCCCTTAAATGAGGAAAGAGGCAGAGGAAGAAAGAAGGCGTGTTTGAAAGACTTGGGAGCTGTTCTGCGCCTCCCATTTGGGGTTTGAATAAAACACTTGAGTAGGTGGTTCAAACAAACTTAGCAAAGCAATGGCAGATTTTTCATGGTTCTCAGTTCCTCCTTTTTGCAGCTATTTGCCCTCCATAATTTAAATGTTTATCCAGTTAATATAACTTGATGTCTAAACTGAGGTGCATTGAATTTAGGTTTCTGTAATGAATTAATCCTTTCAGCAGAAGAGGAATAACTAAAAATGCCTTTCTATGTACCTTGACTGGGGACAGTTAATCAGTTTGATAACCCTAATATTCTCACCACTACTATTTGCTGTGCTTTTCTTTATTTCAGGGTCTATCATGATGCCTTTCTCAAACCATAGTAAATATCTGATTTGCTTGTGAGTTTAACTCTAATTTTCCCCCAGCTTTCTTCAGTTCTTGAAAATGTCAGTGGCCTTTTCCCTCACTTTATTTAGCATACTCATGGATTACTTTATTTTTTAAAAATCACTGAATGTATTTTCAAATACTGAGGAGATGTGGAGAGGAATTTAGGGAGAGGGAAGGTGGTGAATGAATACATTGATATCTTTGGCAAAATAAGTGGATTTGGACTAGCCTATTAAACTTTTGTGGTATAATTAGAAATCAGTTATCTTCTGTGGTTACATTTCTTCATTTGGTCTTTTGCCCTGAGACTGTGCCTTCTCTCTCCCCAATGGTAGTCCTTTCTTATTTTTTAAGGAGAAGGATCATGAACTTTTCAAGAATCTGATAAAAGCTATGAACATGAAAATTCTCATCATTTCAAAATATGCTTGTACACATAAACACAAAAATTCATACAATTATGAGGATTTGTAGGCAACCTAAAGTCCTCTCATGAATCCAGCATTAAGAACACCTGCTATAAATGTTTTACTACCATAACTGAATAAATCAAAGCCCCTTATGGCTCAGTCTTGTGTTGCAGTCAAAGAATTACAATTCAGACCCTCTCTGTTTGCAGACAACATGGTTTTATATATATAGAAAACCCTAAAGAATCCATCGGAAAACTATTAGAAATGATCAACAACTACAGCAAAGTGGCAGGGTACAAAATCAGCTTACAAAAATCAGTTGCATTTCTATGGTCTAATAACGAACTAACTAATGGGAATACAATCCCATTTCCAATCATGACAGAAAGAAAAATATCTAGGAATAAATTTAACCAAGGAGGTGAAAGACCTGTACAATGAAAACTATAAGACATTATTGAAAGAAATGGATGATGACATAAAGAAATGGAGAGAGGGGCCAACCCGGTGGCGCAAGCGGTTAAGTGCGCGCTGCAGCGGCCTGGGGTTTGACACACTGCTTGGCAAGCCATGCTGTGGCAGTGTC